AAAAAAAAAAAAAAAAAAAAAAAAAAAAAAAAAAAAAAAAAAAAAAAAACAGCTGTAAAGAGAATATCAAGTTTATTTACCCAGAAACATTATTCATAAATATTTTAGTTCACATTTACACAAAAATTAAACTGCTTAATAATAAAATTCCAGAAAACGAGTTTTAAATTGCTTTCCTTTGGAGAGGAAATATTAGAGAAGCTGTATTGAACACATATTTTGTACATTGTATAAATATTGAATACCAATATTTTCAATTTATATAAATCAGTAGAAGTGTTCACCAAAACTCTTTTCTAACTCATACTCATTTGTTATTATAGAATATTTATATATAAATCATCAAACTTATGAGCTCGACTGAAAATTAAATTATATATATGCTGACATTTATGAATTATAAATAAAATCTTAACTATGTGGAACTTTTTCTCAAGCATGAAGAGTAAATATACGGGATCTATACGGATAATTATTGCGACTTCTTTTTTGGCTAATAAGGAAATATTTAACTATGACAAATTGAGTTACAATAAGTTATATAATCGACGTGTTATAGAAACGCTACTTTGTTTATTTTTGATTACAACTGATTTGCAATAAATGTTAAGTTAAGTAAACAAGACTTCGAAAAAAAAAACACATTTTTAAATTATTAGTGAACTGAAAAACGTTGACGATTGTATTATGGGTATTACATTTATATATACATACAGATTTGCTGACTATTAAAAATAATTTATGAATTCCCTTACAAATTACAAATAGTGTTCATTAGTTTAATTTATATTCCATGGCTAGCTTAGATTTCTAAGAGCTGATCATTTACTTATTTTTTGCCAGCCATTTAGGATTTGCATGAGCTCGAGCTAATTTATGAGCCGTTCTCAGGGAACTTACATAATTTCTGGGCAAGGCTTTGTAATTTGCGCACGCGATTGCAATATACAAGTTCAGTATGAAGAGTTCGCCAGCGACCTCGTTAATTATGCGACGCATGTTTAATTTTTCTTTATTTTTTGCTTTTGCATATCGAAAGCGAATTCACTTACCTAGACGCGAATTCGATTTTTGACACTGAGCAGCTCCATTGAAAAAGCATTAACCCTCAATTGCGAATTGATGAATTGCGTTATTGATAATTCTGCGTGTCTGACAGCAGCTCTCGCAGCACGTGAATCAAACTTAAAAGAAAAGAAAAGAAAACAATAATAGGTTAAATAAATAGAATCATACGTTGATTATATATACATGCATAATTGCTTAAATATCAAAAAATGTATTTTAAAAAAGAATTAATAAGAATGCAAGATAAGTTAATTTATTACACATTGTTGTCCTGTGCATTCAGTTCTTAAGGACTTTAAATTGAAGAATCGAGCTTTTCGAAATATAACGGTTTAAGTATTGACATTATATTACATATTTTATATTATTTTTTGCCGTAAACAAAAAGTTGTTTGAACTTTTAATTTTGAAAACCAGATTTTGAATTATTTATTTCCTTGTAATATGGCAGCATATAAATGCAATCAAATTAAATCTGATTCCGATGATTCTCTTTCCATATCCTTTGCTTAACCAATATAAAATCATATTTGACCTAAATTAGCATCAATTCCAGAGCTTAAATTATTGTAATTTCATAAGTATGCAAATCAATATAAAAACAATATAAATTAAAATGGTAATAATATGAGTCGAGTTAAATGGGTCACAATATAATGTATATATTCCTGTTATATAATATTTAATATATTATTTTCATATATATTTTTAAAGAAGTCAATAGTAATCATTCATATATATAGTTCTTTCTCAATACAGTAACACGTTTATTAGTTAATAGATTCCTAATAAACTTTTGAGATTAGGACAGATATTAAGCTCTACGCCGACAGCTGCTGGCATTGACAGTTTAGCATAATCATAAACAATTGAGTGACGCAGTTATTGCTCAATTGTTATGATTATTAATTAAATCATCGCTGAGTGGGGGCAGTCGAGCGTCGATTATAATGCCAACGGCAATCGGGCGCCAATAAACATAAATAATTCGTCTAAATTCGCGGACAGTGATATGACATCGAGAGCTAATCAAATGTCCGCTATGATTCACGATCCTATCGATCGTCCGCGTGACATAGTAAAAAACCAAAACAGTTCTAGTGCCAACAATATAAATAATAATAATTACAATCGGCCAGTGCTCAAATAAAATACGAGCTCAACATTTCTAATCGAAGCTCGTAAACTTTTATTCAATCAATTTTCCATGAACCCTTTCATAACTATGTTGATAGATATAAGTAAAGTATACATATAGGCTATTGCAACTCTCATAACTGTAAAGCATGTCAATGTCGCAGATAAAGATAGAGAATATATACATATATATATAAATTCTATAATGCATTATATGTATTGTTCCTAATTGGTTGACTAATCTTATCAATAATGTTTTTGATAAATAATGCTCGCACAATTTCTTAAGCGTATCTTTTTCTTGATACTTCCACAACATTTAATGTCAATTATGTTATTATAAAATTAACTTTCGCTTTTTCCAGATAACTCGTAACTAACATAAGAATTGCAAAGTTGCAAAGTCTTAAATAGATAGCATATAGCTGAGTCCTCTTTGGACCGCATTAAATCTAGGCAGGCGGCGTTAACAGCAATAATAATTGCTTATCAGTCTTATCGGGTATTGGGTACAGCTTTATAATTGATTTTAAAAGTAGCTTTGAGTATTTATGACGAGCATTTCGCCGTGTTACTGTTTCAATTACCGCTGCTCGCCGTTTCAGCCATATCGAGGTGTTATCTTTCGGACACCTTCTTGGGCAGTCACTTTCAACATTGTAGACGGCCCGAGCATTCAGTTGCATTTGGCCCGAGGGCTCGTTCGGTTCTAAATCCTAGCTAGTTCTCGAATCCATTCCGTATAGAGGATAAGAAAAATTATTGTTAAGAAAAAGAAACGTAAGTTTAATCAATTAACCTCTTTACTGCCTCTTGAGAAACAGGAAATGGAGGGATTTGGGCAATTAGGCTCGTGAAACTTATCTCGAAAATTTTCGGTTTTTGAATGAATTATTCACTGTGAATCTGTGAATGAAAACGATTACTTGGCTTGTTGTTTAAAAGCAATTGAATTTATTTTTTTATTTTTATTTTTTTTTTTTGCAAAAAAATTAAATTTTTAATTTAGAATTTTAACAGTTTTTAAATAATGTCATGTTCAATGGTTTAACTAAAAAATTTAGTTAAATCTGAATAAACTTTTTTAAAATATTAAATTTTTTACTTAACTTAAAAAATGCAGTTCAGAGATATTTTCTATAAAATATAAAGTATTTATTTCATATTTTTAAAAGCTATACTTTATATTTTATTGAAAATATCTCTAAATAGTAGCTGATATTTATTTTTTAAAAACAATATCTGAACTAATGAATAATAATTACAAATCCGATTCCTATCGACGACTCAAATCCTTTAAATGCCAAGTAGAGAATTGCAACTCCTTTGGAAATCAAAAAATACATTTTTTTTAAATAAAATTAATACAGTTTTAATTAAAATTATTTTTGAAAAAGAAGAAGAAGTAAATTGTCCTTGCTTGTGAAAAAATCATTTGTTTTGTTTATAAATAATAACAATTTTGTATATGCATAATATAAAATTACTATATTACAACGTTTTCGACTGAGCCCTATACCACGTGCTCCTTTAATCTAATCGGCCAATAAAAGTATATGTTGAAAGTGTGGCTAGCACCAAAGCAAGCTGGCAACTGGCATACTCACCAACTCTTGAGAAAAGCCATAAATAACATTAACTAGTGATTAGAACCTAATCTAATTTGACTATTTCGCGAGTATAAACACTTGTAAAAGGAGTGGGAGAATGAGAAAGAGAAGGAGAGTACGAGTGAAGGTCGAAAACCTGTTTGGTCAGGTGACCATGAGAGTTATCATTATGCATTATGGCCGAAAGTTTTGAGGGGAATTTTGAATGGGCTTTTATGGGGTCTATATCGGAATTATGAGCCCGGAATTATAGCCCTGACGGAAAACATTGAATAAAATTTATGAATGCAGTTCAGTGCCGTCTATATCTGGTCGGTCCGAGAAATTCAGATAACGATCGTATTTGCGATTCGCATAGTTTTATAGATGTCCGACTTGTGTTGCGATATAAAGTACTTGAAATTGTCAACGATAAGATATCGATCGGCATGCGCCTGGGAATTTCTCAAGTGGATTAGCCCTACCCTGTCCTGAACCAAGTCGACGTTGAACCTAAAAGCAAACATTTTGATCGTCCACAGATGACGGACAACAAGGCATTTACGCCGGATACGGCCGTCGCTGAGCCGAATACGGCACGATCTTCGAATGCCAGCTCAAAGCAAGCAGCCTTGCCGCCTTCCTACAGCAGTACGGTCGACAGTCTAAAGGACTTCAACTCCAAGTAAGTTGCAATATTTTTTTGGTGAATATGCATCTTCTCAGACTCAGACTCTCTCGTTCATCATAGAGCCAACTTGACGGAGAAGGATCAGCTGGAGGAGGGCGACTACAGCCCGTTCGATCATCGCGATCCAAATGGCGCCAGCTCTGGCGGCGCGTTGGCCCATCTCCTCAAGAGCTCACTGGGCACTGGCATCCTGGCCATGCCCATGGCCTTTCACAATGCCGGTTTACTCTTTGGCGGCATCATGACACTCGTCGTCGGCTTTCTCTGCACGCACTGTGTGCATATTCTGGTAAGTAAATGCTATTGAATGCAAACAAAAATTACTTAAACCAAATACTATAAATAATACTATAAATAATACAAATATTTTAATTCATTTATCTGTTTTCAAAAAGTTTATGATACGCTCTTAAAAACAACAAAAAGTTAACTATTTTAAAATGAAAAACTTGAAGAAACTCGATCGATATAAAGAATAGAGTAAATAGTATAATAGATTTTCCAGAAATACTAATATGAACGACATTTTACTGTAGAGATGAAACTGTCAAGATTCAAATTGCATTTTGAATTATTTAAAATATGTGTACAAAATTTTAGATATAAAAGGAAAATTCTGGTAGAAAAGTAGTTAGGAAAAAGAAAAAATAACCAAAATTAAACAGTATATCTAATCTTATGAAAAAAAAAACAAAATTCAAAATGAAGCTTTTAAAAATATGAAATAAATACTTTATATTTTATTGAAAATATCTCTTAATAATAGCTGATATTTATTTTTTTAAAACAATATCTGAACTAATGAATAATAATTAAAATTCCGATTCCTATCGACGACTCAAACCTTTAAATGCCAAGTAGAGAATTGCAACTCCTCACGAAAACGTATTCGAATTATTTATTAATTACTGTATAGATGAAAATGTCAAGACTCAAATTGCATTTTGAATTATTTAAAATATAATGTGTGCAAAATTTTAGATATAAAAAGCAAATTCTGGTAGAAAAGTAGTTAGGAAAAAGAAAAAATAACCAAAATTAAACAGTATATCTAAGCTTATGAAAAAAAAAGAATTAAAATTGAACACAAATAACAACACGAAGAAATATTGTCACATTAAATTATCTACCAATCCACCTATCCCAAGTATCTGATCAAATAAAAGAAAATTGAACGAGCTCGTGGGAAAGTAGCTTAGCAATAATATTTACTCAGGAATTAATAAATAATCAGCTTCAAGTCTCTACTTGTATATTTTCAATGCAACCTTCTTGTTAAGTCAAATTTAATGCTATTAAATGGTATTTAAAGTAAAGCCCATGCTAGATGATAAGCAAACTGGCTTGCCAACGCCTTTCAATCAGGCAATCGATAAAGAAATTTGCGTATCCGGTTGAAAGCTTTTCAGCACCTATTTTCGCAATTGACGCATTTGCTCAATGCCGGGGATTTGCTTTGCGGAAAGAGCAACTAGTTCAAGGGCCGTTCAAGCCGGAGCGCATGTGCAAACATTTGGCAAAGACCTCGATAAAGGCGCGTTTTAAAACAGGTGCGAGTCGCCTTCACTATCAGCGGCAGACAGCCTGACGGTTATAATGATCTAGCAGATCAGTGCCTCTAATATATATGCCCCTTTCCTAGAAATTGCAAGTGCTATAAATGACACACGCCCAATAATGAAGCACGCTATAAATAATTTCTTCTAGTTGGACTTTCCGACAATCAACTCACAAATCTCCAGGCAATTCACACTTACATACATATATATTGAGCCACTCGAGTGCAGATTTATGGCTTGAGATTTAATTAGAATTAACGAAAAAATGCGCAAGTAACGCGTGGGTTCTAAATAAATATACGGGTACGTGAGGCCTCTTATCTGGTGTTGAGCTTCCTATTGGAGGCTTGATAATTACGTATGCTTGTGTGTATGTTTGTAGTTTCTGGACAATGCCAGACAGTTGTCGATTGCCCAACAAGGGCTATCAGCCGGCGATAATCGGTTACCATGGCTAATACAAACTGATTGCTTGTTTATGGAGTCGTCATTAGTTAACACTATTAAAATAGGGTCAACTACAGAGTAATTTACAACCACTAAGGTAAATAATTGAAGAAAGAAATTACAAATCGTTCGATGTAATATAATTAGGAATGTTTGTAAACATATAAATAATATATAAGCAAAGGAAATTAGAAATGCAGACAAATATTTGATGTCTACAAAGTTGATAAGCAATATTATTTATTTAATTATTTAATTTTCCAACAAATTATGGAGTAATTTTATTCGTATCCGATTTTTATAATTTATCTTGATCTATTTTATCTCAACCTTTCTAGGTAGCAACTTCTCACCAGATTTGTCGCGATGCCAAGGTTCCGGCTCTGGGCTTTGCAGAGACTGCTGAAAAGGTCTTCGAATATGGACCTAAAGCTCTAAGACCCTATTCCAATTTTGCCAAGTAAGCGCCGATATATCATAATTTTATTTTATATCATAGCTATTTTTTTCTTTTATATTTTTATCAGTCTAATTAAATATTAATTGATAAATTAATTAGTACATTTTGGCAATAATGCTTAAGTTCTTTAAGCTTACATTCGCATCAAAATCCTATTATACAAAGATAAGATAATTGAAAATTGGTTGAGATACTCTTAACAATATCTGAAAGAAATTTATGTGTATACATACACACATAAGCAAAAAATTATTATCAGTTTTGTATTGGAATGGAAATTGTGGAATTTTTGCATATATTCTATATAATTGATATATAATCTGTAGAGTTCAACAGCACTTTCATCAATTACTTTCACGCATCGTGACCACAGTTGAAATCAAAACAAAAATATTCCCCGCAAACTTTTATCGATTTCTGATAATTCGTATAATTAATGAATGGTTCTTTTTTTTTTTTTTGTATTGATGAATAACTGGGATTTGGGATAAGTATTTCCGGTAAAGATAACTGATAAATGATCTTTGCAGGCAATTTGTGGATATTGGCCTGATGGCCACCTATTATGCCGCCGCCTGTGTGTACATGGTCTTCATAGCGACCTCGTTTCATGATGTCATCAACTATGATGTGGGCCTCAAGTGGGATGTGCGCATCTACATAGCCATGACGGTGATACCCTGCCTGCTGATTGGCCAGATCCGAAACCTGAAGTGGCTGGTGCCTTTCTCCCTGATGGCGAACGTGTTCATTGTTGTCACCTTTGTCATTACACTATACTACATGTTCGACCAGGAGCTCGACTTCAGTGATAAGCCGCTGATTGCGCCAGCTGCCCATATTCCCCTCTTCTTTGCCACTGTCATCTTTGCCATGGAGGGCATCGGCGTCGTCATGCCCGTGGAGAACTCGATGAGAAAGCCACAGCAGTTCCTGGGCTGTCCCGGCGTGCTCAACACGGCCATGATTACGGTTGTGGTGCTGTACGCCGTCATTGGCTTCTTCGGCTATGTGAGTGGAGATCAGCTTATCGGGTTGCAAGTGCTTTACTCATGCTTCTGTGTTCACTTTACAGGTCAGATTTGGTGACGAGGTGCGAGGCAGCATCACGCTGAATCTGCCCGATGGAAGCTGGCTGGGTGACACGGCCAAGCTGCTGATGGCCGTGGCTATACTCTTCACCTATGGCCTCCAGTTCTACGTGTAAGTAAAGCATTTATCCACCCCAGGCATCCTCTTCATTATTCTTCCCCCATTGCAGGCCCAATGAAGTCCTCTGGCGCAAGATCCAGCACAAGTTCCGACCGGAGAAGCACAACATGACGCAAATTCTGCTGCGCACGGGCATCATCCTGGTCAGCGGAGGCATTGCAGCGGGCATTCCCAATCTGGAGCCATTCATCAGTCTCGTGGGCGCCGTCTTCTTTTCGCTCCTGGGCATCTTTGTGCCCAGCTTCGTGGAGACCGTGTACCTGTGGCCCGATCGTCTGGGCTGTTGCAAATGGAAGCTAATCAAGAACGTATTGTTGGGAGTTTTCTCGCTCCTGGCGCTTGTGGCTGGCGCAGCAGCCTCTATCGATGAGATAATCAATCCCAAGCAGGAGTAGTGGCATGCGCTGTCCCAGCACCTGATTAGTATTAAAGAGATGCAGGTGCATCCACTGACGGGCGAGATACACACACACCAAGAGACACGTAGACCCAAACCCCAATGACCATGTTGAACATGGCTAAGCAGCTGCCGGACTGCTGGACTGCATTGTAAAGTTGATATTAATTGTTAAGCCCTCACACCGATTTCGCACACATATGTTTGTCTTATGAGTGCCTAGTACCTGTATCTAAATGTTATGCATCCTTATACACATATAAACAGCTATACCTATATATGTATATTTTGTATCTTAAGTAATGCCCAATCCATAGAATTTATAATCGTATTCAATAAGCTTAAAGTCTTCTTTTATACGCGTTCAATAAAATGACAATGTTGAGATGTATTCATTTTATGTGGATTTTTGTGGGTGTGGCTCTTAACGGGCAAAGCAGTTAATGTACATACATATATTCAGAAGAACTTAAATTAAACTTAGCAAAATTTAGAGTCAAGTTATATACACTAAATTATAGAGATACAAAAACCGATGTGCGTTCGATAAGAACTAAATTGTATTGAAGCTCTCAAGTACTGAAGAACATATGGAATTGTAAAAATCAATGAAAACCTTTGTGAGGGCAAGCGGTTTTATATATGATATAAATTATGGTACATTTATTTTTACTGTTATAAAACTAAGTTCTATAATTATGTATATGACCCCAATTTTCATAAAAACATTTTGATAAGAAATCAAGATATGTATGTATATGTAAATATATAATATGTAGATAAGGAATTGTGGCCAGGTTTGACAATATTGGTCAGGCTACCCAGTTATTCCTGTTTCCTAAATTTGTAGTATTCATTTTGAATATTCCTTCTAACATATTAATTTGCTTACCCAATAAAACTTGTAAAAGTTCACGATAAGCTCATGATTCCACCCATTAGTCAGAAAGGCTTACAGTGGCTGAGAAAGCTCAAGCTCAACACAAAATGCATGTGCAGATGTATAGGTTTGTTTAATTTCGCTCCATGACATTAACTCGCATATATTTAAAAGTATAAATACATAATTGAAAACTTATAACGAGATACAATTAAGTGGAATAGAATACAGCGGCGCGCATACATAAATATTAATTACTTATTCGTAAACCTTTAAGTATGTAGTAAAATATTCCTCTTGTTGCTTGAATTAAGAAACTACAAACGAGAGCGTAAAATGTTTTTGTGGATCGTCTATAAAATAATGCTGTGCGGAGCTGAATCTCATATAAATCGGATGTGTGTAATTATTGTTATTGTTATCAGTATTGTGTAGTATGTGTATTGCTATATTAGAAACTGTCTCTTCGGTTGCGACGTCATGGCGGCTGCCTCTTTACTTCTTCTTCTTTTTAGCATTGGAGCTGGTGGCAACCACTTCGCTTTTGCGCTTCTGATTTGCCTTCGGTTGCGGCGGCGGTGCAGGTGTGCTTGTGCTGCTGCCGCCCGGTGTCTTAGGTGCTTTCTTCTTCTTCTCGGCGCGCTCCTTTTCCTCAAGCTCGAGATTCTCGCGCTCAATTAGTGTGATTAGCGTATTGCAGCGTCGTTGCAGCTCCAGAGCAGTGCGGGATTTTATAAACCAGTCAAAGCGAAACTGCGGCGAGGCGCTACAAATCGTAAATCAAATTGCATTAGTCTTTCACTTTGTCAAAAACTATACTTTTCGGTTCCTACCGTATGGCCGCGCGCAATTCCTCGTAAACGTTCTCTTTGTCAAAGCCCAACTTGTGCAGCATGCAGACCAAGAAACGATCTTCGATTTCTGTATAATTCTTGCCCTTGTTGTTGCCATACTGCAGACGCAGCTGATGAAAAGGTGCGCGATATCGAGACATCTACATCAAAGACAAAGATTATAAATATGGAATATAAAAATATCAGAATATTACTCAATAGGGAGACAAGAGTATAAATATAGCTAGGCTCACCTTCTGATCGAGCGCCTTTTTGATGGACAGGCGTCGTTGAATCTTGCCCTCGCCACGTTCGATTTGTCCCATAATGCGTTCAATATCCTGCAGCTCAGTGCACCGCTCCCAGAAGACAGCATTGTATTCGATCACCTCTTCTGGCGTTTTGCCTTCCACATCCTTGGCAATGTTTTCGATATCATCGCGTCCATATTTCTCGTTCGCTTTGATGAACTGATTGAAGTCTCGCTTTGTCCAAGCTGTAAAGCCCTGAGACAGCAGATTTTCTTTCTCAAGAATCTCATCCTCGGTGAGTGGTTCAGCTTCATCAATCTTACGCTGTTCCTCGCGTTGCACTTTGGTAGCCTCCGAGCCAAGTTCCGGATTCTTGGGTACTTTGTAGCCAACAGTTTTGCGGAAGTAGTAAATCTCCTGATCGAGAAGCTCGAATAGGCGCGGCGGAAAGAATTGAAAGTCTTGAACAATTGGTTGCTTGGGTGGGCGTGGCGCCTTCGGTGCCTTCGGTTCTGAGACACGCAACGCCTCACGGAAATAAGCATCCACAGCGTAGTTGGCCTTACGCTCACGCTTAGGTGGCTCAATCCAGTTGCCCAAAGCATTAAGCTTTTGCTTTTCGCGCCAATCCTCACCCTCGAATTGATAAACAGATGAGGTGCCCGCTTCGCCGTTTGTGTCCATGGTAAAGGTGCGCAACGAGCTCTCGCCCAAGCTGTCCAAATGAGCTTTCTGCTCTGCCGTCTTTGCCTCGCCGCGCTCCAAAATGACGTCGATGTCCTCGTCGGTGATGTCAGTCTCCTTTGAGCTAAATACCTGATTGGCACCAAAGCGTATAATGTTCAGCATCTCGTCTTTATTCAACTGCGCACGATTGTCGACTAGACGGCCGCCCTGAATAACCATTTTGTCCAGTCGCAGCTTCACTTCGGCTCGTTCCACGATTTTTTCCTCGACTGTGCTTTCGGTAATTAGACGAAACACGCGCACTTGTTTCTTTTGACCGATACGATGAGCTCGATCCATGGCTTGTAAATCCATCTGTGGGTTCCAATCCGAGTCATATATAATGACCACATCGGCCGTGGCTAAATTGATGCCCAAGCCGCCGGCTCGAGTCGACAACATGAATATAAATTTGGTGCTGTTCTCCATATTGTACTCCTGGATCTGTCGATTACGATCCTCATGCGGTGTCTGACCATCCAAGCGGCAATAGTTGTAGTTGCGCCAATGGCAATAATCTTCCAGAATATCCAACATGCGAGTCATCTGTGAGAAGATTAGCACACGAGAGCCCTGTTCCTGTAGCTTCGGTAGAAGCTTGTCCAGAATAGCCATTTTACCAGAGTTATAAACGAGATGAGTGTCCGTCGTGTATGGAGGTCCAGGCTCAGCGCCATCAAACAAATACGGATGGTTGGTACACTTACGGAGCTGCATCAAAATGTTCTGAAGACGCATTTTCTCGACTTTGCCAGCGCCGTTCACGATGTCGATGTCTTTGAGGAGCACCTTGGTATACCAGTCACGCTGCATTTTCGACAGACCAACAAAAATTTTCATCTCTTTTTTGGGCTTCAATCGTTTCTCCACCTCTGCTTTTAGACGACGCAGCAGGAATGGCTTTAGTACAGCGTGTAGACGCTGTACAAGAGCATCATCCCCCAGGCAAGTGTTTGTGTTGAACCACTCGTCAAAGTCCTCCGAAGAATTGAATACATCGGGAAGCAGAAAATTGAGCAGCGCCCACAACTCATGCAAATTATTCTGTAGGGGCGTGCCGGTAATGAGCAGACGATTTGCGGTCTTGAACTCGCGCAAGATCTCCGAGAGCTTTGACTTTTCGTTCTTAATGCGATGCGCTTCATCGATGACCATGTAGCGCCAGTTGAACTTCTTGAACACCGACTTTTCACGAATACACATCTCGTAGGAGGTGACACAAACATCCCATTCCCCAGGTAATAGTACGTCACGAATGAAAGTGTTGCGAGTGTCCTGATCGCCAATGAGACAAACAGCGCGCAACGACGGACACCACTTCTTAAACTCGTTGACCCAATTTTGTAGAGTTGACTTGGGAACGATTACAATGTGCGGCCCAGCTTGATTCCTGTTTAGATAAGACATACATATATATGTTAACAGATCTATTGATTAAGGCGTGCATAAGTAACTGCTACTCACTTGAAGTGCTTTAGATAGCCCAGCAAAGAAATAGTCTGCAGTGTTTTACCCAGACCCATTTCATCAGCCAGAATACCATTAATGCCATTCTCATAGAGCGATATCATCCAATTGAGACCACGCACTTGGTAGTCACGCATTTCCCCTCCTTTAATATAGGCCGGCGAAGCATCAAACCGAAATAGTTCCTTACTAGTCGAGTCCTCAGCCAGTAGCTCCTCATCCTCCTCCTGCTCTGTCTTGCGATGGCGATGGCTGTACAATTGAGAACGAAAAAGTTCACTTTAGTTTTTTAAGTTAACGAACATTTGCTGAATCACTAACTCCGCCACATCCTTATCCTTGTCTTTGTCCTTGTTCTTTTTGGGGCGCCCCTTCGGTTTGGTTGGGCTCTTTGTGCTGTTTGTCATAAAATGCGTGAAGATCTCCGTTTGCTTTAACAAATAATCGAAGCGTCTGCTGCGATCTACTTCGATTTTATTGTCAAACTCGGCCTCCTTTTCACCAGAGGAACTGGTCGCCGCCTCCGAGGTAGTCTCGTTCTGCATGAACAAATTATTAACAAACATCTGTCAAACTTTTATCGAAGCGGCATGCGGCGTCTGCGTTTGGCAAAAATTTTGTAAACGCTGCTTTTGCCATAGGCACCACACCACTTACCGAGTTCTCCTCGTTGGTTTCCATTGCGGCGGCATCTGTTTTCGACATTTTGACAATGTCGTTTGTTTAGGTTTTTACGACAAAATTGTTTAATTATTGAGTTTTCCAAATAATTTTGGAGAAGCGAGAGCGTTTTGCGCGTTGCTGCGTCTGTATGTGTGAGCGACAGCGGGAAAAAGTGGCGTTTTCGGGGTTGCCTTGAAGTAAATTAATCGATAGCAGCCGATATAAACAACTAGGGCTGCTGAAATTTTTTTTTTTAACATTAGAGATCTTGACTGCGCGCCATTTTTTGAATTCTACATTTTATTGTTGGCAGCTTTTTCTTTTGCTTGATAAATGGTTGTTATGGATGTAACAAATTCTTAATTTAACAAAAACATTAACAAATAAATGATTTCACTGTGGTCTTAGCCGTAAATTAATTCATAACTGAGTTTTCTTGACTTGTGCAACAACTTCCTATTAAAATTTCCGCGGTCTCTTTGTAGGTTTAACATTGGGCTCTATGTTTGTAGCGCCTTGCTTCTTGCGCCAATCTTCGCCCTCAAATTGATAAACAGAGGAGCTTGTAGCTCCGATGTTTGTATCCATGGTGAATGCAGGCATTGTGCTTTTGTATAGCCTGTCTAGCCTCTCCTTCTGTTCAGCTGTCTTTGCTTCCCCGCGCTCCAATATGACATCGATGTCCTCGTCTGCGATATCCATATCATTGCTGTTCAACATGTCCTTTTCAGTCAAGCGAATGATATTTAAAATATCTTGTTTATTAGGGTGACTATTAACACCAGTTTGAATCACTTTTTTATCCAGACGCAGTTTGATATCCGCGTGCTCTAAAATCTTCTCATCGACGGTATTCTCTGCAATGAGTCGGAATACGCGCACCTGTTTTTTCTGGCCAATACGATGGGCGCGATCCATGGCCTGTAGATCCATCTGTGGATTCCAATCCGAGTCATATATAATGACCACATCGGCAGTGGCCAAATTGATGCCCAAGCCACCGGCCCGAGTCGACAGCATAAATATAAATTTGGTGCTGTTCTCCATGTTGTACTCCTGGATGAGTCTATCGCGGTCCTCATGCGGTGTCTGGCCATCCAAGCGGCAATAGTCGAACTTGCGCCAGTTGCAATAATCCTCTAGAATGTCAAGCATGCGCGTCATCTGCGAGAAGATGAGCACACGAGAGCCCTGCTCTTGAAGCTTCACCAGCAACTTGTCTAAAATCAACATTTTGCCAGAGTCTTTTACCAGGCTAAGGTCCGTGGTGTAAGGGGGCTCCTCGACTCCTTCGAACAAATAGGGGTGATTTACGCACTTGCGAAGCTGCATTAAAATGTTCATCAATCGCATTTTCGAAATGGTGCCGAAGCCTGTGACGACATCGACATCCTTGAGCAACAACTTTCTATACCATTCCCGTTGCATTTTCGAGAGGCCCACATAGATGTTGACCTCTTTCTTGGGTAGCAAGCTAGCCTCCACCTCCGACTTGATACGACGCAGCAGAAAAGGCCTTATCACGGCATGCAGGCGGCCAACTAATGACTCGTCGCCCAGGCAAGAGTTTGTGTTGAACCACTCATCAAAGTCCTCTGAGGAGTTGAATACATCAGGGCGTAAGAAATTAAGCAGCGCCCACAGTTCGTGCAAATTATTTTGCAAGGGTGTGCCAGTAAGCAGTAGACGATTAGTGGAATGGAATTGGCGGACATTCTGCGAGATCTGGGCGTTTTCGTTCTTTATGCGATGTCCCTCGTCGATTACCAGGTACTGCCAGCTAAAGCTTTTCAAGAAGCCACGCTCCCGCAAGCACATGTCATATGAAGTGACGCATACATCCCATTCAACTTTCTCATTCTTTGGCATTTTAGCTTTGATTGTCTTGCGAACCTTCTTGTCGCCAATGAAGCAAATCGCTTTCAATGAAGGACACCAATGCTCAAACTCATTCATCCAATTCGCCAAAGTCGACTTGGGCGCAACGACCAAGTGAGGGCCAGCTTGGTGTCTGTGAACATCGCTTGTACAAAATTATCTGGATAATGTTCGATCAAGGGAATTTCACTCACTTTACATTCCGAAGGTAGCCCAGCAGCGAGATGGTTTGCAGTGTCTTGCCCAGACCCATTTCATCGGCTAGAATACCATTGATTCCATTCTCGTAGAGCGAAATCAGCCAGTTCAAACCGCGTAGCTGATAGTCTCGCATCTGCCCGTTTGCAATAAAACTAGGTGAGGCATCAAAGTATTCTACATTGTTGTTATTAACATCTCCTTCAAAAGCGTCCCCGTCCCCGTTCTCCTCATTTGACGTAACTCGTTGTTTTCTAAACATTATTAATATATGCTGTATTCAATTTCTCCAGTTAGCCATTCTTGCCTACCTGGTCTTTGTACGAGCCCTGCCTCTAGATGTGGGCTTGCCGCCACGATCTTTGACGTTTTTTGCTTCTGAAAGCGTGTTTCCAATGAACTGGCTGTAGATTTCGGTTTGTTTCAGCAAACACTCAAAACGGCTGTCGCGCGTGGATTCTGACGTATTCAAATAATCCTTACTATTCACTGGGAAATCGTCTTCATTCTTAGTCAAGTTGTCACTCTAAGCACAAATTGTCAAATTAGCAAAAAAAAAATAACAATCTCTTTGAAAAAGTTCAGCTTACCATATTTTCTTTTTCGTCGTCCATATTGTAGATTTCAGTTATGTTGATTACTTATCGTTATTAATTATTCTTCAAGAACATCCAAAATATTTCACAATAGCATCGCGCGAAAAATGGACGAATGCTCAATTTTCCTTTGAAGTTAGACAATTATCGATAAATACTTCTCATAAATTACCAAACACTACTCTGTACAATTTCTTCTACGAAATTGCATATTAAACAGCACTGAGAAATATTGCTTCTGGGCGGTAACTGGTAATTTTTGTTAAACTCGATTTGATGCCGAAATAAGCTAGGATTTTGCTACTATTTGTATTGGTGATCATTAGAAATTCGTTCGTTCTAAACGCATATGATTTGAAAATTTTAAAAGTTGTTTTATTGACTACATCTGTGAATAATAATAAATGTGGTAGTTAACAGCACTAGATAATAAATTTCGCGCTTGATTGCAGTTCGAATTTGTTTAATAAATTACATTTATATTTTTTGGTTTATGTCTTAAATTATACAAATGTTGTTGGTTTTAACCACTGTTTTAACCTAGGCATGTGTTTTCTACAAAATATATTTACAGTACATAAAAATCCAATTTTTACATGAGTGTTTCTAGCGAAATATACAGATCAAATGTGAACTATCTAGTCCCATTTAATATGTGAAATGACTCGCTGTTCATGCATTGTTATTGTGGTGAGCATATAATTGATTATCGGGCTCCGTTCGGCTCAACACACGGAATGAAATGCAGCAAATGTTGTTTGTTATATTTTGGAATACATGTATGCATGCATACATATGTTTATATATATATATATCTATATATATAAATATATATATATTGTTTAAGTTAAGTTAGTTCTTGACGGAAAAGAGTTGAGCAAATTTACTGGCATGACCCTTGCAAAACTCATAACTAATTTTCGCTGTCCTCTTCAGAGCCTCTGTTGCGCTGCTGCTGCTGCTGTGGCTCGCAGATGCAACGGCCATATCGCTGTATGTCACATTAGCTACTGCACTCTGCGAATTGACTGACGTTGTTGGCGACGACGCTGCCAGTTGATTCTGCGGGAACATGCGTCGCAGCACGTAGTTAAAGCCATTTGAGGCTTTGTGGCCATTAGATTTGAAGCGTTCAATGCCAAAGGCGCGTATTGCACGGGAGAAGCCAAATACTTGAGAGCTGATGTATGCTCTACGGACCGCCAAAGTGCGTCCGTCCTTTTGCTCGCTGTACACTACAATTTCATCCACTTTCTGGAATGTTCGGTATGTGTTAGCCTGTGTCACCCTGTGCACATACAAGCGCGTGCGGTCCAAAGTTTACTTACCATTATCTTTTTCATGCCCAGATTGCGGGTAAATGTTGTAAATGTCTTTTTCACGGGGTCCAGCACCGAGTCCTCAACAATCTTCACCGGCAAATTGTTGTAAAATCGCGCCCCCCACTTGGGCACGGGATTTGTCTTCGATAACAAACGGCGAGAATATAATTTTCCATCACGCACTTCACGCCTAATAGTGTCCTCGGTAAGGACATGAGTGCTGAAATGGAGGTGAACGCGATGGTTAGATATATTAGGGGCCATTAATTGATAAGAGACATCGTACCTTGACGGATTGGGATAACGATTCCAATAGGCTGAAACGACATGGATCCAGCTGTAATCGAAAACCGTTTCCGTGCGGCAAGTGGACGCAGTGACTACCATGTCGGGTATACTATACAACGGACTGATAGAAGCTCTGCCAAGTAAAGAAAGTGAAAATCGTTGCGGCCCTGAACCACATTGAAAAAAATGACAAAGAGAGCCGAACACAAAAATCAATTAGATGCATATTGGCATGCTATAAATAGAGCCGATTATTCGATCGTTACCTGCTGAACGATTGTCGCAGAGCTCTAATTGTGTGCTTATTGTTGTTGTATCCGTGCCCCCTATCGTTGGCCGCGAGGCCTACTACTCGTCCAGACTGAAAATTTTGAGAATTTCTCTTGACGTTGTGTAACTGCGTCACGTACAGGGTGTTTCAAATCATCAACCAGATATGTGTGTGTGCTGCCAATCAAAGCGCTTTTGTTGAATTAGCAATTGCTAATGTTGCTTTGTTTTGGACTTTAACACCAGCGTTCATTAGTTTTGATTAATATTAAAGAAATTTAGCTTAACACAATTTTAACAATGAAGCCAATTACATAGACGACTAGCAGAGCTAACAGGAAGCAGCTGAGTGGCTATGTTGCAGTGCTGCAAAGTGTATCGTATATATCGATATACTGTATTCGATATCTGTGCAAAAGTAGTGCCGCCTTTGCACATCACCAGCTCTTTCGCTCAGACTTTCCCAGCGTAGACGCAGCTCAGCGCACGACACATTTCATTTAAACGTGAATTACACTAAAAATAATCGCATTTAAAATGGCATTCGGTGATGTTAAGACCCCACAAGGCCTCAAGGAGTTGAACGACTTCCTGGCCAACAACAGCTACATCAGTGGGTAAGTGATGAACCGCATGTGCCTGCTAAATGTGAGGTTAGGCACGACAAACACGTCGGCATATTTCTAATTGAAATGAATTTGTGTTTTTTGTTGCAGTTACACCGCTACCAAAGCCGATGTATCTGTGTTTGATGCCCTGGGCAAGGCACCAGCTGCCAGCTATGCCAATATTGCTCGCTGGTACCGTCACATTGCCTCCTATGAGGCAAGTGAGCGTTCTGCCTGGGCGGGTGCTCCGCTGCCCCAATTGGCTGGAGGCAAGCCCACAGTTGATGCTCCCGCTAAGCCAGCTGCCGATGACGATGATGATGTTGATCTATTCGGCTCTGATGAAGAGGACGATGCCGAGGCCGAGCGCATTAAGGCCGAACGTGTTGCCGCCTATGCTGCCAAGAAGTCGAAGAAACCTGCTCTGATTGCCAAGTCGTCTGTACTGCTTGACGTGAAGCCATGGGATGATGAGACCGACATGAAGGAGATGGAAAACAAAGTCCGCACCATCGAAATGGACGGTCTGTTGTGGGGCGCATCCAAATTGGTGCCCGTTGGCTATGGCATCAACAAGTTGCAGATCATGTGCGTCATCGAAGACGACAAAGTCTCGATTGATCTGCTGCAGGAGAAGATTGAAGAGTTTGAGGATTACGTGCAGTCCGTCGATATTGCTGCCTTCAACAAGATCTAAGCAACTATATACTCTTTAACTGATGCATAAATAATAAAACTACAGCAAAGCTACACGAATTATGTCTACTGCTATCCGTCTCTCCCTCTCACTCTCTCTCTCCCATACACATAAAAGCTATTTTTCAGCTACGAATTAAAGTTCGTTTTTAAAGTCTTTTGTTCGGAGCAAAAGCTTTTTCAAGTCGCTGAACAAAAGAGTGCAGCTCGAACGTTTGGCAGCTCAGTTATACGAAAAACGCTAAAGCGTACGGTTCCATTGGAGGAACAGAGATTACGAATTTGTTTAGAGTTTAAATACACGAATATAAATTTTTTCGGGCAATAAAAATATACATATATACAATGGCTGCAAACAAATTGTGCTGCACACTGGCTATTGGAGCTCTGCTGTGTCTCGGCTTCGCTGCTCTGATACAAGCACAGGGTAAGTGACACAGGGTTCGATATATGTATTTTATATTCTGTTCGATTTGTTTTGTGGTTTTATTTTGTTTACAAAGTCCGTCACATATGTATATATATTTCAAATACGATTTGGAAATACCTGTTCGCAGGTATCGTGCATTTCATTAACATTAATTAGCAATAATAATCATACAAAATTCTTTTTGTTTGGGTTAATGTTTTAAAAACGCATATATTCGTCGATATGCGTTATATTCTATTCTATTTGTAGCTATGTGTGTATGTATCTAGAGAGATGCACATCTGAATGCAACTGTCATTCGGGGCATTGACAGGGAAGGCTTTGAATTACATTGTCATTGCTAACTACTTCCGAGACTAACAGATTATTTAAATTGAGCTAATGAAACGGAATTAATTTGAATTACAATTCCACAATCATAGTGATTGATTGCTGAAAGAGTTAAATGATCAATTATGATTTATAAACAAAAAATGTTTTTGGGTTAATGTCAGCTTATGCAAATACTTTTGCTGTAGCACACGCCAAGTTCGTGTTTGGTATATTTATATAGTAAACAAATTTATATAAATGATATGCTTACATTTGTAGAATTTCCCCGCTTATCACGCATCTCTACATCCATTGTTTTTTTCGAATCCGGGAAAAAGTTCTCCCCTCTGTTGTGACATTTTTTCATATGCTCGTTATTGTTTATATCTTTGCCTTTACCAGTTAATATTAAAATAATTGTATGATAATTATAAACGTGTTTAGTTAATGAAGTCATTTAATTATAACTGAAATTTGATTAGCGACAAGAATAATAATTAAGAACAGCTTATAAAAAAATATAAATAAAATTAATAAATATAAATGTGCCAACACATATTCAAATTTTGACCTAATTTAGTCATTCTTAGAGTTATGTAAAAGAGTGCGTTGAACCCGAACTCAGCTTATAAGCGTACGAGAGCAAATATTTTGAGCCACTTTATAAATAAATGAAAATTAATGGTACATTAAATATAATAGTATCTAATTATTTCATTTCAATATTTGGCGTTTTATAATAATTAAATCTAATTTTGACGAACTGTGCAATTGTAAGGAATATAATTGATTTAAATAAATTGAACAATTTATTTAATATTGATTTAATGACAACTAAAATGTATTTAAGAAAATTTTATGAGTTTCCGTGGCATTAACAGAAATTGAGGAAAAGTTCAATTATTTTTAGTTTCAAGCATTACGGTTCTATTAAAAAATATTACAATTATGATTATATTGAATTACAAAATGGGTATTCTAAATTAATTGAATTAATATTTGATATTTGCTCGAGAAACTATTTAACTTACAACAGTAAGTTATGAAGAAACTTCGCTTGAGATTTCAGGTTTATCTCATTTCTGCAAGGTTTTAAATAATTTTTTTTAAGAAAACAAAATACATTTTCTTATTAACAATAAGCGAAGATAACGCGTGCATACAGAATAACTTGAAAAAATAAAGATCAATTTTCGCACTTGACAAGCAACATCTGCCGGCTTGAAAACCTTGGGCAACCCACAAAAAAAATCCCTGAGAAATAAAAGAATATTGCTTGACTCGTGCTTCTTGATAAGGTAAATTGACTCATACGCCTGATTCGAAATCTGTAGTTAAAAAGAACAAAAAAAAAAAAAAGAAGAAGAAGAAGACAATGTAGTCTTGAAGTCTTGTTGCTGCCATTGAAAGTTGCAAAACTAGTTCGGCAATGGCTGGCAGATAGGTATATACAGCATCCAACGGAACGTGAGGTTCATGGGCGTACGATTTGTATTATTATTATTATTATTTCTGACACATTATACAAATACATAGATCTATAAATTGGATACACATTTTATTGACTTCATTTACAGTTTACATATATTTATTTCATTAATGAATCCCAGAATATATAACGATGACATCTCTAAGCAAAAATGTATACAAAAAATATATAAAAAAAAAAAACAAAAAACAAACGATCAAAATAAAATTTCCAGTTTTTTTATTGAGTCTCGAAAGCTTGTTACGTTGATTGCAAATATTGTACTAAATTTATAGATCATTTAATGCTTATCAGCTGAGTGTCGTATAATCATATACCCTTTGCACTTTTGCTCTACTAATGTGCTATTTGTTTATACTTATACTATTTTAGATAAGCCCGTTACTGATGTGTGCCTGGGCTGCATCTGCGAGGCCATCAGCGGCTGCAATCAGACCCGTTATTGTGGCGGCGGCGTCTGTGGACTGTTTCGCATCACCTGGGCCTACTGGGCAGATGGCGGCAAACTGACCTTGAATAACGAGAGTCCCCAGTCTGAGGATGGTAAGTAACGCACGCGACACTCATACGCATATACACATACGTAATTCTAATATCTTATTTATATATAAATGTGAACAGCTCGAGTGAAAAGCTAGCTAATTTATACAAAAATGAAGTTAAATAATATTAAGTTGTTAGACAGTTTTATTTTATGAACCATATGAATCGATGCTAAGTCTATTTCTTTCATCTCCGCTTGTAGCCTATGCAAACTGCGTGAACGATCCATACTGTGCAGCCAATACCATTCAGAACTATATGTCAAAGTTTGGACAAGATTGCAACGGAGACGGAGGCGTTGATTGCTACGATTATGCGGCTATCCACAAGCTGGGCGGCTATGGCTGCAAGGGGGAACTGAGCTATCAATACCAGAGCGCGCTGGACAAGTGCTTGACTACCTTCTCGCCTCTCGATGTGCGCACATCGGGCTGAGCTCTATGTCTATAAATATGATCTATGGCATTATGTTTTAATTATTTATGTGCGGAGCTACAAATTGGAATTTCTTTATTTAATCACTTTGAATTGTGCAATATTTTTGTATAAATAAACGAAAAAATACAAAATATTTGATCAATTCTAGTGCGATTAATATTGGAGATCCAGATGGGTGTATTTTTGTTTATTCAAAAATATTTATAAACCTAGAGAAAACGTTAGATAGTGCTATTAAAGCATATTATATAGCCTAAAAGAACAAAACCTATCAATAATATGACCAAGTCGGTGAGGGTATTTTATTTGCGGGTCCGGCCTGCTATGCCTCAATTAAAATTTTTATAGATTTGCTTGAGAAATCACTACACATTGTGGGGGCTTTGCCGGTACTTCCAGTTTTTGCATCAGCTTCCCTAAGATGACCTCAACGTAAGGAGAGTAAGAGTTCAAGGGAGAATTCATGAAAATATTTATTTTAAAATTTAAATAGAAAAAGAATAATCCGCTATACAGATTCTCCTTATAATGAACAGTATAGATAGCAGAGTTTACCAGAGTAGAAGCTTTTAGCTATAATAGGTAACGGTTCAAGCAAAAGCTCATGTTTGGTTCGAAACCTTACTTACATCTTTCTTATCTGAGCGGCGCATGTGGTTTTCCGTGAACAGCTTTTATGGAAAGTATACGGCTATGAGATACCTATGATTTGCTTTAAGCAGCGTAAGTTAAGGCATACAAGTAGCATCCACAGAAAGAGCTTGCTAATGTTACAGTCTATCGGAGCTTCAGTTAGCTAATAGCTATCTGATTTGTTCTACTAACGTAAATGAGCCCTACAAACCGGTATTCTTGACTGTTTACCGGCTCTGTATGAACAAGTATTTCAAGCTAGATGCATTGACTGATCAGATGCGGAAGTGCTTGAACGTGCTTCGATCCGGCTTATCACATAATATTTTGTATACTATATAATGCAAATGCTTTGGAGCTTGGGCCTGTGCCTTGCCTGCCTCGTTTGGCTTAGCCTGGTGCATGGGCAGGGTAAGTTCCGATTGCCAAAGCGTATGTATTCGATTTAATAATATTCCCAAACTATGTTAGGTCACGTGCTGGATAAGCCCGTTACGGAAAAGTGTCTTACTTGCCTTTGCGAGGCGATGTCGGGCTGCAATGCGACTGCAGTCTGCATCAGCAATGAGAAAGGCATCTGCGGTCTCTTCCGCATCACTTGGGCCTACTGGGTGGATGCGGGCAAATTGACCATAGAGGATGATGAGCCCGATTCGGAGAACGCCTTCATCAACTGCGCGAATGATGCACACTGCGCCGCCGACAGCGTGCAAAACTACATGAAAAAATTCAATCAGGACTGCAACGACGATGGGGAAATGGACTGTCACGATTATGCGAGAATACACAGATTGGGGGCCTACGGCTGTCATGGCGAGATGCCCTATAAGTTTCAGAGCACTTTCGAAGATTGCATTGACAACTTTGCGCAACTAGAAAAGGACGAACAGTTAAGAAAGGATGACTCTTAAGAGAAGTTTGAGGGAAGATTTCTTATTTGAATATAATTAGTGGTTTATAGGGAATTAAGAGGATTAGATCTATGGATGGGGACTTTCTACATATACTGAATTGTGAAATCCAAGTTGTGCAATCATGATTTGTTATCTAAATATATATAAGTATATTTTTTGAGAATCTTATATTATATAGTAATCATATATTATTATGTAGATTGGCTGAAGGATGTAAAATGTTTATTTTATTTTTCTTTAAGAAATATCCAGATATAGAATGTGTAATAACGAGTTTTAAGTTGCAGATTAATTAATTGATTATATATAAACTGAAAAAATTTTAAAAATTCCCAAAGCTAAAATATAAATAGGGAGTAGGTGTGGATTTCCCTTAATTTTAACGCTCAATGAGCTCAGTGAATTTGTGGACTGGTCATTTACTGTGGGTTGAGTAGATCATTATACTGTTTTCGATGACTTTCCCATTTCCTGAACTACAGTATGTGGATTCTATATAGTATAACGGCAGCGACAAATGACTAACTACGTATAAATATCAACAACAAACAGTCGAAACATTTCAGTAGCTCGACAACGTTTGAGCCAATCGAAACGGAAACGAAAATGACTACAACTAAAAACTTGCTGTGTTTGTCTATAATACTGGTTGTGGGCGTGGCTGGTGCCAAGGCAGAGCAGAAGCGTCCCATCACAGAGACGTGTCTGGTGTGCATGTGCGAGGCATTGAGCGGATGCAATGCAACAGCTGTGTGTGTCAATGGGGCATGTGGCATCTTTCGCCTCACGTGGGATCAGTGGGTCGACTCGGGTCGGTTGACAGTCGGTGGGGAGCCGCCGCAATCGGAAAACTGTAAGTAGCACTATATATCATATATAGAAAGAAGTGTTTTTTTTAATTTATCTCTTATCCTTTTGTTAAGCCTTCACGAACTGCGCCAATGATCCGTACTGCTCGGCGGATACCCTGCAGAACTATATGGTGAAATATGGTCAGGACTGCAATGGGGATGAGCAGGTGGATTGCTACGACTACGGCGCCATACACTATATGGGTCCATTCAATTGCCAAGCGGATATGCCGTACAACTATGAGAGCATATTTAAAAACTGTCTTAAGCGCGCCAAGAAACAACAACAACAACAACAGCAGTAATCCAGAAGTGTCTGAATTTATGAATTTTTTAATATATTCTATTTATTATAGCAAAGTACACTCAATTATTAGATGGCATATAGTATAAGGGTTTTCCAGCTAATAAAACACAATTGTTATAGGAAAATGTCAATCAGCATTGCATTGCTTGCTCGATCTTACTTTATGGCCTACTGCCACTTGGCGCTACTCAGTCGCGTGCTAAGCGTAGCAAAGGCAACAGCTCGAATAGAAATTGTCGAAATAATTTTTCAGCAATTAACAATGTTAAACAATCGGATTTTTTTGTTGCTCAGTGTATTTTCTATGTTTTCAATGTGCCACATTGGTGCCCAGATCGAAGGTAAGGCATCGATAATAGATTATAAAATTGTTTAAAGAGTGGAAAGGAGGTTGGGCTAAAGGCTTAGAATGGAATAGTGAAAGTATGTACATTGAATACTTAAAGTACTTTTCAGGCTCTGAGTTTTCTTACTGCAATAGAGATAAAATAAAAATTATTTCATTACCATAATCATAAATAGTAGATGTACATTTTTGTGTGAATCCCACATATTAGTATGTGATGTGAAACTTACTAACCAGGGATAAACTTTAACTATATATCAATTTTGATAAATAGTTAGATCCAACTTGAATATTCTTAGAAACTGTCTTCATATACATATATTGCTAGGCAATAAGGAATACAATATATTCCAGCTGCTTAATTTAAATTTGTGAAAAAATTGAAATTCTTCTCGCCTCATTGTGCAACTGAGTATGCTGAATATTTGCAAACGCAATTCATTCCTGAAACTAATTTCAATGCATCTTGCACCACTGTGCAGCCGCAGTGTTAGATAATTATTGTCTAGAATAAATGAATACGAGTAATAATGTAAACCGGCTTTGCGGTACCAATACTGGATGTATTTCCATTGAATGCATGCGACTAATATGCTAAGCAGCTCTTACTAAATCTCCCACCCCTACTTACCCCGTCACAGTTGAAAATAAGCCCGTCACGGAAGCTTGCCTGGAATGCCTATGCGAGGCGATGAGCGGCTGCAACGCAACGAAGATCTGTGTGAATGGAGCGTGCGGCATCTTTCGCATCACCTGGACCTTCTGGCAGGACGGCGGTTCATTAATTGGGCCTGGGGACGGCGATGGTGTGCACTCATACACATATGAATGATAGCTAGATAACTGAAACAAAGTCTTCTCTTCGGCCAGCATTCACAAACTGCGTCAATGATCCACACTGTGCGGCAGACACCATCCAGAACTATATGTATAAGAACGGCGAGGACTGCAACGGAGATGGGAAAATCAACTGCAAGGACTATGGATCCATACACAAGCTGGGCAACCTGAAGTGCCGGGACGAGCTGCCAGCCACCTTCGGGACGCTCTTCTTCAAGTGCCTGGCTAGAAAAGAGCAAGAGGAGGCAGAAGCCCAGAAGAAGAACTCGACTTAAATAACCTTTGTCTTTATTTGGGTTTGTTTTTCGAAAACAATTAGTAATATACATTGCTTATGTTTTTCCATTTGAACAGTTTCCAATACATGGGGCATAGAATCTATAGAACTATAGTCATAGTACACAGTATATATATAACACATGTATGTATATATATTTATATATTACTTGGTAGTATATAGTATATGCAAAACTACTATAGAATTCATTTCAACACGTTCGAATTGGGTTAACGGTTGCTAAATATTTGTTTGTTTTTCTTATAGGGATTCAAAAGAGTTCTTAAGTTAATTTCATAATTTCTTCCTCTGTTATTGTTGTTTACTTTTGCTTTAGCTACGCTTCCGCAGTCGGTATTAAAATCTATTAGGCATAGAATTGAAGTTGAAAATTTTCATTTTGTTTTTCATACATAGTATATAATTTTAACTGTTTAAATTGTTTGGAACAACCTTTTCAACTTATGAGACAGATGAGTTCGTTAGGCTTGACTGGAAAAACAGGAATCCTAAAAGAAGAGTTCTAGAAAATAGATATATTTTCATAACTTTATCGTATGCTCTGTAGCTAAGGCAGAGTTACAAAAGTTGTTTCTTTGTTTTTTAATATAAAGTAAAAGAAAAAAAATGTATAAATATAACTACAACAAAAAAATTGTTCTGCACTAAAAAACAATTTTTTGTGTGAAGGGTTTTGCGGGCTAATTTTTTTTGTGTAATAAAATAATTTTGGTTTTGTATATAAATAAATATCCTATAAATACAATCAAGCTCGTTTTTATGGAATGTGTGGGTATGTGTGTATGTTTGTGTGTGTGTCATGTCATTATTATGTCTGATATAATACAGTTTCCATTTATCGTTTGTAATTTCAACATTAGCTTTGCACGTTAATTAACTTTATTTCTTATTATTGCCATCGTTTGCCAATAATAGCTCCTTGGCCTCCTTTTTGCCACGTTTCTTCTCCTCCTTGGCATGCAGCTTGGCCAGGCGCTCTTCCTCCTTGGCCAGTCGCTTCTCCTCCTGCCATGAAATTAAATGCATAAAAATGAGTCATTATAACCCGTTATATAAGCAGGAAACTTTATAACATTATGCTTCTAATTAGGACTGTGGAAAAGTTGGCTAGGGTATATGCAATTTTTTGCATTCATTATTCATTATATTCAAATCTGAATAAAAATATTAATTGTTACTTCCAATATTTTTCTAAAAATGGTTATTGATAGGGTATTAGGTACTGTATACTGTATACATCAACTATGAATAGAGGGTATATTTGAAAAGTGACTGACTATTTTATTCCATTTAATCAATAAATTAAAATTTTACCAACTTTCATGTATATGAGGATAGAAAATTAATGATATTAAGAACAAAACTATAAATACATGTATTTTGACTAGGCATCTTCTAGTCTTACAATCATATTGGACTATTTTTCAAGCAGAGATTAATAATATATGTAAGTACATTGAGCACATGATTGTCACGATCTGTGCAATTTCGTATTTCATCATATAAGTAACTCACTGCTTACAGGGTATCTGATAGTGTATCAGCTATGCTTTCAAACCCTTTGCTTGCTCAACATGCAATAAATAGAAAGCTTAAAAAGTGCATCAACTGCTCAAAAAACTACCCAGCGCGCATTATGTGCTACTTTTTTGTTGGCAACCGCCGCCCCCCTTCGCCCACTACACCTCATTCAGCAACGTGCTAGAGGAGGGGAGTCGGAGGTGCTGGTGGGATTGGTGAAATGCACAAAAGACGCGCTCGTCCCGCGTTTAATGAAAAAGTTTGCAGCGGAAGCAAACGAGGCCAATTACAAACAATGGCGCCCCCTGGCGGCGAAACAATAAAGACGCCTGCTCCACAATGAGCAAGCGAACGACTGAGCGAATCAGAGCGGGAGAGTGAGCGAAAGAGAGAGAGAGAGAGAGAGAGGTTGGCTGTGAGGGTATGGGACGCTCACCTTTCTGGCTTCCTTTTCAGCCTTCATCTTGAGCTTCTCCTCCTTCTTCTTGCGCTCCATGGATTCGTTTTTCTTGTTATCCGCTTTCTCTTCTGCAAAATTGTCGAGCGGAACTTAATTAATTTCAATCGCACACTGGCGCCATCTATCGCGATCAACTTACTGCTGCTGCTGCTGCTGGAGAAGAGCGGAAAACTGCGATTCGAATCGGTTGAGTGGGGCTTGCTGCAGTTGTTGCCCGACTTTGAGGAAGAGGAGGAGCAGGAGGAGGCACTGGCGCCGGCTCCTGCTGTGCCTGCTGCTGCGCCCTTGGTGACTTGACTCTTGCTGCTTGCGGGTGGCGGTGGAGCATTCGGTTGCTTTTTGTCCTTGGGCATCACGTAGGCATTTTTGGGCAGCGAGTTTTTGGCATTGAGCGGACTAATCTTGGCGCCGCCTGCCTTAAGCGGGGGCGGCGCTAAAGCCGTGCAGCTGAGCTGTATATTCATGGGACTCGGCCGACGAGGCGGCGGCGGTGACGTTGACTCACGCAGCAGCGGCGCCAACTGATGGCCGCTGGACTTCGTATACGAAGCATACCTGCAAGAGGCAGAGACAAAAATTAGCTAAGATTCTGATTAAAGCAACGGGACGCACCGAAAGCGCGGATTGCTGACATGCACCGGCGAGGGATGTGGCACTTTGGCTGGACTGCGAAACTCCTTGATGGGTGGCAGCCGATTCTGCAGATCCAGCATGCGGCTCTTGACGTGCCGCCTACCCGGATAGGTGTGTGTGGGCGTGGGTGTCATGCAGCCGCTGCCGCTGCCACTGCCGCTGCTGCTGCTGGATGAGGATGTAGAGGCGGAGTTGCTGAGCGTGTGCAGAGGCTTGCGCGGCACAGCGCCCGAGCAGCCGCTGGGACAGCCGCCGTGATGCGAGTGATGAGCGGCCGAGTCGCGAGGCGATAGCGAGCCCACGCTGGAGCAAGAGGATGAGCCAGACGGTGAAATCACCTGATGCTGATGATGATGCTGCTGATGATGATGGTGTGTGTTGGGCGATGGCGGCGCCAAGTGATGGGCACTGTGCGCCAACGCCGCCGGCGAGGCTGGCGAGCAGGCGCCGCTGCTCGATATGGAAGACGTCTTGGAGTAGTGCGAGTAGCCCGATAGTGTGGAGCCCGCCGAGCCCGTGGAGCTCATTGAGTACAAGCTGTCCGATTGCGAGACCCGTCCATGAGCGCCACGTGCCGCCGCATACTGATGATGATGGTTGCGTGCCCCAGCGGCCGTGTGCAGCGTGGGCTGATGGAACGCATGGTGCTCGCTGTGCGCATCGTTCATCGAATAGGAGCTGGCCGAGGCGACAACGCCGCCCGCATGCACGCCCGCCGAGGCCCAGCTCTTGGCACCCATGGAATAGCTGCTGGCCGACTCCTGTATGCGCCAGCTGCCCGACGACGAGGTCAGCCGATTCACCCGCGCCCGACAGATCACGCAGCGCAGCGGCAGCAAACGCTGTGCCACGGCACTCTGTATGGTCTTCACGAAGCAGCGCCGGCAGACGACGCGATGGCCGCAGGGCGAGGTCTGCATTGTGGCGCGAGCATTGATGCAGATCACGCATTCATCTTCCTGCGAGGTTGGAGGATCCGGCTCGCTCTCTTCTTCCAACTTGCTCAGCAGTTTGTCCTACAAGAAGAGCAGCGATTTAGTAAATATGCCTAAAAGTATGCTACATTTTTGGTATCGAAATACAAGATGGAATATTTTATTAACACAATAGAAGGTCAAAGATTATTTCAACCGTTCGATTTCAGAAGAGCTATAAATCAAGAGCAATAAAAGCATTTGTACTATCTTATTTTAGATATACTCAAAAATTAACTATGGAGTTAAGCAGCAATAAACAAATAATTAATAAGTGATAAAATAATTATAATAATAATAATAGGTAAACAAAAATATATAAATGTGGAACATAGTTTGCCAATAGTGCATACAGATTCAGTAAAGTTTTGAAAGGCTTTTAATATAAATAGTTTACTGACATAACGTGGATAAACTTCTTATAAGAACAGACGAAAATAGATTTTCAAAAATTGAGTTTAATTTGACAACGAATTTGAAGCCTTCAAATTTAACAGAAATTAATATATCAGAAATTTGTAACTATAAACTACAATCTACTTATGTAAAAAAATAAGATTTAAATTCATAGTGCTACTATACACAAGTTCTACCTTTATTTATACATTATACCAAAACAACTCTATGCACTTTAATTTGTTTATACAATAATATTTAAGATATTCAAAGAGGAGCTCAGTATATCAGTCTAGGACATCAATTTTGCCTTCAATACAAGATGTTGGCTTCATTTGAGCTAATTTATTTTGTATTCATTAACCAAGATAATAATTAATTGCCAAATGCTGTGCAACTAGTTTTAATTGCGGTTAGCGTTTTCCTTTATTTCAATCTTTTTAGTATAAATAAATAAAACTAATTGAGATTTTTAGAGATTTCCAAATTTATTACAATTAACAGTTTAACTCTCAATTATGTCGCACGCTGGTCAAGGCTGGAGCCGGAAGCCACTTGGCACGCCTATTAAAAAATAACAGCATCCACTAATAGCAATAAATATGAAATTCTAATTTTGGTATTGTTGATACTACGCATTGGCTAACTGTATATATATGATATGCAAATGTCAGCGATTCGGATTAATAATTAAATTAACTAAATTGGCCAATGACGCTGTTCGATTTTTGCTATTGTTGTTGCTCAATCTGTCAGCTTTTATATTATATCTTTGGGGTGGGAGTCCGACCTCACGCTGGTTTATTGTTCATAAAACATATGCTATATATATAAATACTTTATATATGTATACATATATACTTATATAAACTTTAAAGAATTGTTTAATTTCGCATTGTTAATTTTCGTGTTTTTTTATTGCTTTTTGAATGCATTTTTTCTTACAGTTTTTTGTCATTAATTTTGTGAGTCAGCAAATTTTTTGATGTATTGAGTGTGATAAGGGGTATGATGGTTAAGTGGAGTAGGACGTCCCATGAGGATATATACTAAGTTAAATGTTATATAAATACCTATGCTACAATGGAATTTCTTTCAGATTTGATTTAACACTTTTATTTCAGACTTTCTCATAGTAAATCGTATATCATATCATAAACATGACAAATATACATATATTATTGGACTATGTTATTATTTCAAGCACGTGCAATAAGTACATAAGTAAATTTTATGGAGGTACATTTATTATTCATGGGGCTAACTAGCTTCAATTAAATAAAAAACGTTCATATGTGTATAGCTAAATGTAAATAGCTTAAGCATTATATAGTTCTCATTTTCACGCTTCCCTCTCCTATAAATAAATCAAATTAAATATATACTCAAAAGAGTATTGCTGCTTCGTTTATCAAGCTCCATATCAATCTTTTGTCATTTGAATTGATTGTTGACAATCACGGGCTTATAGCTTTCGGGGTCTTCTCAACTAGACATAACTGTTGCTTATATTTAGCGTGCTTGTTGTGTGCTTACTGTAAATTTAAATGTAATTATCGGCGTGCAATGTACCTTTAAGCTTCTCACCTTTTAAGGCACGAGGAAGTCGTAAAAGAATACGCATTGAGTCGGATCGGAGTTGCTGGACGGGTTTCGCAATGGACCAGAACGCGGCTGAAGCCTTGCACTTGGGCCGCTTTCACGGCCAAGAGAGCCACACAAAGCACTGCAATGGCCAATAAGCCAATGAATTACATCCGACAATCAATGCAAAACCTCGAGCCGCCAATCGCCAATTAGCTAAGAAGCTGGTGTTAGCTGTCATAACGCAGAGTCACAACTATTTATTTCGAGACTGCGACCCTGACTACCGGTCTTCGCGGGCAGAGTCGAGCTCAGTCTCAGCTTTAATCCAAGTATAAATCATAGTCAGAGCCGCCCGCAACTTGAGCAAATTTTGAGCCAATTGATTAATGCAAAACTTGGCGCCTCGCTAATTGACCCGCCACAAAAGCAAAGCAAGCTGAACAGCAGCCACAGAAGAGGGTAAGGCAGCTAGAGGTTGCCCAGAACCGCTTTCAGTATTGCTGTTGTAGTTTGGCTACGGTCAACGAAAGGCGATAAGTATCATCAGCCGCGTAGACTAAGAGCATCTTATTGGCATAATGGAATCCAAAAGTCAGCATTCGGTCAAGGTGAGCCGGCCGCTGGCGATACACTGACAAAGAGACTCTAGCCAGAAGAGCAAATATTTTTATATAAATAATTCAGATAAATGTACGATATAAATTAAATTTAATTTGGAGAATGTGTAAAAGTGTGCAATAATTTGCACAATCTAAAGCTTTTCAGCCTTTTCCTTTTTTAATGACAAAAATCTTAATCTGTTTTGCGAGTGTAATCAGATTAGATCTCGGTATTATTAGTATTTTCTTTTTTATAGGTAAGATGTTCTACAAGGGAGCTTAGAATCAAATAGTCTTATCATAGTTGAATTAGTTAGTTTTCAGCACGATTGCTTAAATTTACGTTTTGATGCGATACTGAAATATAATATAACCAGATTTAGCTCTATGGAAACTATAACAACTACATTAAATTCTATTGTTCCTCTGCAATACCCAACTAGCTGGGTCTTTTTTGTCAATGTAATCTCAGCCAGATGCAGTCCCAGCATCAATGACAGTTAAATTAAAGCCTGCTCAATTTACTGCTGAACTTTGGCTGGATTCTTGAAAGTTTCGTAGTTCGACTACAGAGTGAGAAAAAGAGGAGAAAAGAGAAACAATCACTTTGACGATCTACCCCATCGATGCTTCATTTCGTATGCTGGGCGCAGGCGACTGGCGTGCGACATCAGGAAATTAAAATTAAAATTAAAATGCAGAAAATAAGGCGAAAAACAACAACAATTTTACGACTTTTCCGACGTGTGTGCGAGCGCGATTGCCTAATCTAAATATTTGGCACAGACGAAGGCGGAACAGGCATGAAAATTGCGACGATCAAGTTCGTTGCCTCAGTCTTTTGTTTGGATTGTTTTGCTTTTCGCATAGGGCGCATTGATTTATCAGCCAGGCAGCATGGCCCAGCCCCAGCCCCAGCCCAACAAGCGATCGAGCATAGCTCGTCCACAGCTCAACAGCTTCTAGACAACGAGCGTCGCCATCCACATTCAGTGCGACTGCGAAACTTGGCCAGAACGGAACGCTGCTCGCGCTGACTGAAATTAAATAAAACCTGTGTGCCTTTGTGTGTGCGTAATTTTCATATCGAGTCTGTCAATGCGGAAGCGATCATTGAATATAACAAATTCAAATAGTTCATAGTGTGAAATTCGGTGGATGGGCATGTGCCAAGTTCATTGATCGCCCGAGATTCGATTGGCCCCGCTGACAAGCTAAATATTTGGTTATAGATCTACGCAAAACCATAAAAGATAAGCTAATATTTCGGGATGGTGTTGCCAAGTACTTCAACACTGTGCAATGTCTTTACATTTCTGCTGGGTAAGTTCTCCAATGTATTCTCAACACATTAGCACAGCCAAAAACTAGATGCGTAGATATAGATATCAGGTCTATTAAGTAAGCTCCCTCCATTTGCTGTTCTTTGTGTGGAATTGTTTGTTCTTGCTTTTAGACACAACATTTGCTGTGCATAAGTTCAAGGTGGCATAGATTGTAAATACTATGTACACTATAAATAGCGTGTGTGTGTGTGTGTGTGTGTGTGTGTGTGTGTGTGTGTGTGTGTGTGTGTG